TTAGGATTTAGCAGTAGTGGCTTGTGTAAAAATGATCGGGACTGCCGCTTGGTAAGAGCATTAATATCCTCGATCACACAGGACGTACCTCTAGCTGTTCTTTATTGAATAATTTTCACTAGAAGTACTTAGTGTTCATGACCACATGTCTAATTTGTAGATAGACATAAGAACTTAAGTCAAGTTAATTCATTAGCTAATAAAAATAAAGTTCATTCTGAAGAAAAGTTAAAAAATGAAAGAGACTTATTGGATTTTGAAGATTGGCGGGAAGACCAAAACCTGTAAGTAGAAGTTCATAGATTATAAAATTTAGTTTATAATCTCCTACATCTACTATCGGCTCAAATAGGTCCAAGTAATTAAGTCATACCAAATACTCAAGCTATTGGGGCCATCAAAGCAAATTTAGAACACTTTGGAAATATTGGAAAAAGAACTTGTATTAAATCATTTTAAATACAAATAAAAACCAATGTGTTAGCTCATTTGATCTTAATATTTTAGACTGACCGAAGGCCGTATTTCTACATCGGCACGGGCACGCCGAAGGAACTGAAGTACATCGATGTTCGCCACCACTAGATTAGGGACAGTGCCCGCCAAGGCATGATAGACTTCCACAAAAACCCCGCCGACCTTCTGATCAAAATCCTCGGTCGCCACCCAATCTCCGCCGCCATCTCATATGAAGGGTTGATCCTTAGCTAGGTTTTACTGTTCGTCGCACAAGATCAACAAGCATGTCTTACATTTTCCATGCTGGTCTCTTTATTCAGGTGTTCAATATAAACCTTGTGTGTTGGACATAACAAATCAGCTAGTGTGAATCTCAAGACTATATACAGATCGGTACATGAACTGAAAGGTGTCATGCCATTAGCAATATGATACCGTATCAAGATTAAAGAGGTTCCTGCCCTAAACGCCCTATATGACCTCAGTAGGGGAATAAAAATAAATATACTTCATATATGTTTACATTCGTTGACACCTTGTTGTACAGAAATAGTAAAAAAAGTTTAATCGTTGATATAATCCTTGTGACGGGTCTCTAACTCCCTATACAGAGTGTACTGTCTGTTTCAGGGACTCGTACCGGACTCCTTCTTATTAGTTTACCCCTAACTACCACGTCACTGGTTTTTCACTTGGAGGCGATCTCTATAGATACCACATTTTTTTAATACATTATTGTTGACAACAATATTGTATTTATACACTTAACAAAATTAAATATACTCCAGTCGTTCTAAAACATAGTTAAGGGTTCATAGTCTGTGGGCCGTGACGTGACCTCGTGGGAATCTTGGACTGGGTCACTGGGAGTCTGGGATCGACCGGATCGTATGTAAACAATAGGAGTGTGAAACCTATGAGCCATACATAGCCTTCTTCTAAATGAAACAAAGGCTATGGTGATAAAAAAATTAAAACTATGAACAATGAACTTGAACTTCTTAAAGTCAACTCCGAGAATTTATTTGCAGGCAATTCTACTGTCAGAATTTTACTACTGATTTCTCATTGGAAACCTTTTTAAAACGAATTCCTCTGTTAGAATTAATTACTCGTTATGTTAAAGCACATTCCATATGTATCATGTCATGGTTCTTTTTGAGTTGGTTGTGGGTCAAAGCCTACAAAGGCTACAATCTACATACTTCTAAATTTACTATTTTTTTTTTACAGTTAGGTTTGTATTTTTGTTTTTGTTTTGTAGCAAAAAATTATAATTCATATTATATATATATATATATATATATAAATAAAGGGAAAACGAGGTTGGCTATGGAACCTCTTGACCTCAGCTCTTTACTCTTGATTAAAAAAAGGCAACTTTGCAAGTTATAACGTTTTTTTCGTTCCTTGATTCTTGAAATGGTTGTTTTGAAATAACAAAATTGAAATGTAGTAAATACATAAAATATCAATTATCACAGTCCTCTAAATAATACATACATATTGGAAAAAAAAAAACGAAAATAGTTTTGAGTCATTTTGTATGAATATGTTTAAAAAAGCCAAAAAAAGCCAATTAAATTACAGGGCTACAGCCTACAGGACACAGGACTAGAGGTCAATAGGAGCAGTAAACAATTTTAGACATTTGGATGGAGAAACTCGGGGATTTTTACTATAGAGGGGTTGACCCAGAGGGCCAGAGGTACAATAAAAATCTATTTCATTGGGTTTTAGGGTACTCAAATTCCTAGTATAGACGAGTAATAAACGTATTTTAATCTCATTCCGATTGGACTACAATTTGTTCAAAAGTTATGAAAGATTCGAGTTCGTACCAGAACTGGGTCAAAATAGCAGCAAAATAGAGGCGCGCGTAGGCATTAATATATCAGTCCATCCATACCTGTCGGAATAGCATCATGGGTATAGACAAATCGATAGGTTCTGTTTTTGCATCCCAGCTATGAAGTTTTCAGACCTTTAATTACACGATACTGTTCAGCCAGATAGTTTAATGATCAGACTAGAGGTTGATAAAGTTCTATATTGAAAGGAACACTGCGAACTGCGAGGTTGTGAACTTTATATACATTCCCTATTCCAAGTGTTAAAATGCAAGTTCCTTTATATATATATATATATATATATATATATATAATATATATATAATATATATATATAATATATATATTATTATATATATATATATATATATATATATATATATATATATATATATATATATATATATATATATATATATATATATATATATATATATATATATATA